TCACAACTCGGGGGTAGTGGGCAGGCAGGTCCCCTCCTTGCTGGGGATTGTTTCTCCTAGGTGCAGACAGATCAAGTGATAGGTACTGCTTCCAGGGGTCACTCTGCTGGGTACGTGACCCCCCAATGACTATAGTTGCCTTGGGGTGTCAGGGAGCTGGAGTACCAAACCCAGGGAAAAGGGCAGCACTGATCCTAGCTCAGCAGGGAGAGTGAACAACACTTAGGGAAAGAAGGTTTTGGAAAGACTCAGCCAGTCTGGCTCAGTTTCATGGCTGAGTACTCAGCAAGCTGGGATTGTTTTTGTTAGGTGCCGTCGAGTTGATTCTAACCCCTGGTAACCTGTCTCAGTCATCTAGAGCTGCTACAACAGAAATACCACAAGTGGATGGCTTCAACAAAGAGAAATTTATTTCTTCACAGTAAAGTAGGCTAAAAATCCAAATTTAGGACGTCAGCTCCAGGGGAAGGCTTTCTCTCTCTGTCTGCCTTCTCATCAATGTTCCCCTGGACTAGGAGCTTCTCTGCACAGGGACCCTGGGTCCAAAGGACGCGCGCTCTGCTCCCGGCACTGCTTTCTTGGTGGTATGAGGTCCCCCTGTCTCTCTGCTCACTTCTCTCTTTTATATTTCAAGAGATTGCCTCAGGACACAATCCAATCTTGTAGATTGAGTCCTGCCTTGCTAACACAACTGCCACCCATCCTCCCTCATTAACATCATAGAGGCAGGATTTACAACATACAGGAAAATCACACAATACCAGGAATCATCGCCCAGCCAAATTGATACATACATTTTTGGGGGGACATAATTCAATCCATGACATGACCCCATGTGACAAAATAGAGCTGCCCCATAGGGTTTTTTTGGCTGTGACCTTTCAGAAGTGGATCGCCACGCCTTTCTTCCAAGGTACCTCTGGGTGGGTTCAAACAGTCAACCTTTTGGCTTGTAGTCGAGCACTTAACCTTTTGCACCAGTGACGGCCTCCTTAGCAGGGCCATGGCAGGCTGAGAACAGCTGAGTTCTAGGTCTAGCCACAGGTGGACGTACAGCAGGCCTGACGGGCATTAACTTGGAGGATGAGGAGGAGCCAGGTCTGTGAGGATGGGGCTGGGTGTTGGCATGTGCTGATGAGTGGACACAGGTGAGGGGCAGGCGTATGTTATTATAGTACAAGGATGTGCGGAGCCTCAGGTGGCCCCCGCTGAACTAGTCTAATCTTTGCTTGAACATGTGCTCCTTTCTCCTTCTCTGTCCCTCCTGCAAACGCCAAAAGCACCCAGCCAGCCCTAGGACGCCCAGAGCACACTCACATGCCCATGACCCAGGAGTGTGACACTGACACACAGCTCCCTCCACCCGGCATTATGTCACCTCCCACTGGGGGAATTTCAGGACCCACATCTGGAAACGTTAAGAGCACGTTCCTCCTGATTCTATCCGGAGTGTGTTGCAACAATGAGAACATTCTAGCAAAGCCTGAGAGCCTAAGTTCATAAGGCTCTTGTGACATAAGCAGGCTGGAACCCCAAGACACACGCATCCTCCTTACCATCCCTGCCCCCCGAAGCAGCCTGCCAAGGACACATACTCCCCAAAATGTTGGACCCCAAAATATCAGGAGTGCCCACCATGACACTTGACAATGGTCCTGGGCTGTGCGAAGCCTGGGTCTGTGGGGACAACACAGCCTGCTCAATCATCACAGCCATTGGGGGCTGTGCCAAAACCAAGACCACCCTGCCGGGCACAGGGCAGGAGGTTCAGCCCAGGCGGGGCATGCTCTCCCTCAATGGCCCCACCAACCATGGCCAAGGGGCCTCCTGGGTCCTCATGGTGCCCAGATGGAGCCACATCTGCCTGCATGGGCTGGGCACTGAGTCCTGTGTCCAGCTGGACATGCTGGCAGAGGTGCCCCTCAAGCCCCTGCGGTGCTGGGAGGGGACAACAGGCTCTTGTCCAGGGACTTCCAGAGGTCCTCCACACGGGTGGCCATTGAGGCCATGCTGGCCGGCTGCACTGCAGCCAGGGCCACAGGCTTTATCATGGACAGCAGGGCCAGGTTCACTCCAAAAATCCCCGTCCTCCAGGGCTGCTGTCCACCCCATGTCATCTCCTGGCTCAGCGTTGCAGGCAGGGCCATCATGGAGAATTTCTCCCGGCTCCTCATGGGGAGTGGTTACTCAGTCATGAGTGTGGGCCACCTGAACCCCACCCAGGAGATGGCCGGTGAGGCGGCTGGCGCCCCCTGGAAGTACACGCTGCCTGACAGGAACATCACAGAGGTGCACACTCAGCATCTCCAGGCCTCCAGGGCATGGTCCCGGACCCCCCCACCCTCCCCACCCTCCCCACCCTCCCCACCCTCCCCACCCTCCTGCTGCAGCATCCACAAGATGACCTGTGGCAGGAAGTGTGACCTTGAGGTGTGTGGCTGCCTCTACAGGGGCCTCCTGCCCTCCAGAGACTCCTCCTTGCACCAAGAAGTGCAGAGCCCCAAGGCGGCCAGGTGCCCCGCTCCCAAGGGCATGCCCAGGAGCAGGTTCTGCGTGTGGATCCATGCCTCCCACTTCACCTACCCTAGCCCCTCCAGCCAGCTGTGGGAGACTGTGGGGGCCCATGACGAGCTGGGCTCGTTCCACCATCTCAGGTCAGCCTGGGTCAGTGAGCTGCCTGCCTGGCAGGGGCCTGTGGGCTGTGGCTACCATATAACACTGCTATGGCTGGACACAGCTCGCCGAGAAATAAAGATTTTAAGACCACATCCATGTAGCAGGCATCTGACTTGGCTTCCCTCTGGGGGTAGCTTTAAGGAAAAGCCACTGATAATAGTAAGTTTTTATAGACTCCCCACCCATGGCTAAGGTTCTGGTGGTGCCGACAAAGCCACCCGTCTCTACCACACGTCTGTACCATTAGTCTATACCATATGTGTATACACACAACTCTACCACGTGTCTCTATTACATGTCTATACCACACATTTTTAACACATGTCCGTACCACCCATCTGTACTACTTGTCTGTACCACAGGTATGTACACACTATACCACACGTCTGTACCACACATTCATCCCACTTGTTTATACCACACATCTACATCATTTATACCACATGTCTATACCACTTACCTGTGTGACACATCTGTACTACACATCTGTACCACTTGTCTATACCACGCATGTATACACACAACTATAACACACTTCTATATCACACATTTATACCACTCGTCTATACCACATATCTGTACAACCCATCTATACCACATGTCTATACTACACATCTACACACAGGACTATACCACCAGTCTGCACTACACATCTATACCACACAACTCTACTACACATCTGTACCACACGTCTCTACCACCAGACTCTACTACGCATCTGTACCACACGTCTGTACCACACAAAGGGCACTTTGTTAACACCCACTGGTGGTTTAGAAGGGCAGGCATGACATAGAGGGTGCCATAGGTGGGAGGATGCCATGGGTCTGGAGGGAAGAGATGAGAGTGGGGTGCTGTAGAAGAACTTTCTGGATGGGGGAAGGAGCTGGACTGGAGGCTGATGTTGAACACAACAGGAAGGAGAGGAGCCATTCAGATAAACCCTGTTTCCCAAGGCCACCTCCACCCTCCTTAAGAATCAAATAAGCTGGTTCCCAGGATGCTTCCCTCCTGTTTCTTTACAAGTGGAGAAAAAGGTCAGGGTCCAAGTGCCCAGTGAGCGCTAGTGGGGGACCTCTGAGAGCCTGGAACAGGTGACCCCAGACAGCCTTTCATCAGAACAGGGTGGACTCCATCCCTCCTTCCTTGCTCCCAGGCCTCAGCCCCTCATGACCTGGTCATTTCTGAACACTCTGCTGTGGGCCTGGCCAGACACACAGAGAGGCATCCGGCTCAACTGGGGCTGTCCATCTTGAAACCATAGTGCCACTGGACCATGGGCCACTGGATTCTGCTCTGTGCCAGCTCGTGGAGGTCTACCAAGAGGTAGAAGGTTCCCTGACCTCCATCCAAGCAGGGACATGTGCACCTGGGGAGACAGCAAGCAGTGTGGAGGAGTTTGCTGGGTATCTATTCCATGGGACCGAGAGCCAGGGCTACTGAGGCAGATGGGGGAGAAATCTCTGAGGGCTTCCTGGAGGAAACTAGCCTCCAGGGACAGGGAGTTTGTATTCACAAAGGACGTTATAAGTGCCTGCTGCTGGGTTGTATCGCCCCTCCAGCCTGGACCTGTGACTGATCCTAGTTCATTCGCTTAGCACAACCCACTCCAACCCACTGGCTTCGAGTCAATTCTGACTCACAGCAACCCCACAGGGTTTTCAAGGCTATAAATCTCTATGGAAGCAGAATGCCACATCTTTCTCCCTCGGAGTTGCTGGTGGTTTAGAACTACCAACATTTTGGTTAGCAGTCAAGTGCCTTAACCACTGCATCACCAGGGCTCCCTTCCCCTTAGCACAGGGGAGTGTATTTCTGTCACCCCCCCCAAACAGCAGTGACTCAGCTGGCCATAAAGGACAGCTCTCTGGGGCAGGCCCAGGCTGGTTCTAAGGCCAGGCCTCTGCTTGGGGTCCAGGGCTCATCAAGATGCTTATGGGGTGGTTTTCCCTCCTCTGTCTTGACTTTTACCAAGCAGGGAGAGCTGGTAGCTCAGAGCTTCCCCCCACCCCCACCCCGCCCCACCCCTGAAAGCCCCTCTGAGGCTCACTGAGGACAATTGTTGCCTTGGCTGGATTGTTACATAGGGGACATTCATTCTTGAAAAGGCCTCAGCAAGCCCTGCTGCTGAAAGCGGGACAGATGTGTGGGTTGAGGATGGGGGGATCTTGGGGATTGGGGATAGCCTGCTAGCCTGCCTGGGAGACACCCTGAGAACCACGGAATCTTGTGCCCTTAAAGCTTCCAGAGGAGCTTGTGTCACAGAGTGGCCCAAGAGGGAGCTGCCTTTATTTTGGTGACGTTCAGAGGAGGATGCTGCAGACATGCTGAATCCACACGTATTGGATTCTCCAGCTGTGGTTTTCGACAATGGATCGGGGCTCTGTAAAGCAGGCCTGTCGGGAGAGATTGGACCCCGCCACGTCATCAGCTCCATCGTAGGGCATCCAAAACTCAAGACAGCTTTGGCTGGAGCCAACCAGAAGAAGTACTTTGTGGGGGAGGAAGCGCTATACAAGCATGAGGACTTATACCTGCACTGCCCCATTGAGCGTGGCTTGGTCACAAGCTGGGACGACATGGAGAAGCTCTGGACGCACCTTTTCGAGTGGGAGCTGGGGGTGAAGCCCAGTGACCGGCCCGTGCTCATGACTGAGCCTTCCTTGAACCCCCGGGAGAACCGTGAGAAGATGGCAGAGATCATGTTTGAGAACTTGAATGTGCCTGCCTTCTACCTGTCAGACCAGGCAGTGCTGGCACTCTACGCCTCCGCCTGCGTCACAGGCCTGGTGGTGGACAGTGGGGACGGGGTCACTTGCACGGTCCCCGTCTTCGAGGGCTACTCCCTGCCACACGCAGTCACCAAGCTCTGTGTGGCAGGGAGCGACATCACCGAGCACCTCACGCGGCTCCTCCTGGCCAGCAACCAGACCTTCCCCTGCATGCTGCACAAGGCCCTGGTGAATGACATCAAGGAGAAATTGTGCTACGTGGCCTTGGAACTGGACAAGGAGCTGTGCAGAAGGCCAGAAGAGATCCTGAAAGAGTACAAGCTGCCGGACGGGAACATTATCCACCTCGGGGATCAGCTCCACCAGGCGCCTGAGGCCCTCTTTGTGCCTGACAAGCTGGGCATCCACAGCCCAGGACTCCCGAAAATGGTCTCCAGCAGCATCATGAAGTGTGACACTGACATCCAGAAGACACTCTTTGGGGAGATCGTGCTGTCTGGGGGCACCACACTGTTCCCAGGGCTTGATGACCGGCTCCTGAGGGAGCTGGAGCAGCTGGCTTCCAAGGGGACCCCCATCAAGATCACAGCCCCCCCTGACCGGTGGTTCTCCACGTGGATCGGCGCCTCCATTGTCACCTCTCTGAGCAGCTTCAAGCAGATGTGGGTCACTGCAGCAGATTTCAAGGAGTTTGGGACATCCGTGGTTCAGAGGAGATGCTTTTAGGGGGCCCTGGGTACAGGGCAGCCTGAGGGGGCATCATTGGTGGGTGACCCGGGGGAAGTAGAGTCGCCCATCCACTTCTTCATGATGTTAAATAAAAGAAAAAATGGTGGGAGTGTTTGGCCGTTTTGGGTTTCAGTTATTCTTGTGGAACAAAAATTGATTTTCGAGCCTGGTAGTTAATCTTTTTTAGGGGGTCCTACCTCCCCTACCCCTCCCATGCACCTTTGTATGTTGCCTTTTCCTAGAAAGCCCTAGGTTGGGTTAAGGCTGTGCCCTCCTGCAGAACTTATAGTAAAAGATGGGGTCCAGGCCTCATACCCAGAAGCTTAGTTCAGTAGGGCCCCTGGAATCTGCATTTTAACAATGTCTTAGTTGGTTCTAAGGGACCCAGTGCCCTGGAGACAGAGTCAGCAGGGAGGGCAGAGGAATAGAAAAAGCAGGGTGCTACCCTGTTCTTAAACCATAAAAAAACCAGTTGCCGTCAAGTCAATTCCAACTCATAGTGACCCTATAGGACAGAGTAGAACTTCCCATAGAATTTCCAAGGAGCGCCTGGTGGATTCAAACTGGTTAGCAGCCGTAGTACTTAATCACTATGCCACCAGGGTCCCCACCCTATTCTTGGGGCTCAGCAAACCTCAGTACAACAGGACTCTCCCTCCACTATTACAAGATCAGGTGGCTAAACAGGACAGAGCCACTCCACTGGCCTTGGCAGAGGAGGTGAAGCGGGCGCACGAGTCACCATCTGTTTAAGGCTCTGTGAGCTCAGAGACCCTGCTCCCTGGTGGCGCATTATGAATCAACACCTCTACTTGATTATTATGATTTTTCTGCTTATTTGCTTTTACTTTTAAGGATGTTTGCAGCATTGCTTTGGGGGCAATCTATTAGAAACAGTTAACAGCCATCAATAAAGTAATGGCTGAATAAATTATGCATAAATGGAATTTTCACACAGATTGGGTGGAATTTTCCCAAGATATTATTGGAAGAGAAATGGAAAATACAGAGAAGTCTTCATAAAATGATCCTCTTTAAAAAAAAAAAACTTTCTTGTTAAGGAAAACAATGACACTTTCCCATGTATATGTGTATGTGTATATGTTTGTACATTTGTATGTGCATCTCTAAATGAATATATGCTTTTATATGGTTATAAGTACATGGGGAAAAGTATGAAAGGATATACAGGTTGATAGGGAAAGGAGGGGAAGGAGGAGGAAAAAATAAAAAACGGCTATACTAAAGAGATTCGGCTTGAATAAAATAAACACATTTTTTCTAAAATCGTGTGTGTGTGCACGCACATGTGCGCGTGTGTGTTTGATTAATGTTTGCGTGGTTTATTTTTCCATCCTTCTACTTTAAACCCAGCAATGTAGTATATGAAATATATGGTATATTTGAAGACAGTCAGTCAGGTTGTTTTTTTAATCCAATCTGCAATTACCTGTCTTTTAATTGGTGTATTTAGACCATTTACATTTAAGGTAATTATTGATATGATGTGGCTGAAGTCTGCCATTTTATTGTTGTTTGTTTCCTCTGTTTCTCCTTTCTCTGTTTCTCATTTCTTACTTTCCTTTGTGTAAGTTGAACATTTTTTAGGATTCCATCTAGATTTGTTTATAGTGTTTTTAAGTGTATTGCTTTGTATAGTTTTCCTAGTGATTGGTCTAGGTATTATATTATACATTCATAATTTGCCACAATCTATTGCTATTGACATTTTACCACTTCAAGTGGAGTGTGGAAACCTTATTTCCATTTAGGCCTCTTTACATTCTGAACCTTTTAAATATACTTAATTATTTCCTCTACATACTTAGAACACTCATCAGACAGTGTTATAATTTTTGCTTCAACCATCAAATATGATTTAAGAAACCTGGAAGAAGGCTAGTCTAACATATTGTCACCTATTTTTACCCATCCTGGTATTCTTTTGTCCTTCCTGAAGTTCCAACCCTTCTTCTGTTATTTCCGTTCTATTTAGAGCACTTCCTTGAGCCGTTCTTTAAGGGTAGGTTTGCTAGAAACAAATTCTCTTAGTTTTCCTTCATCTGAGAATGTCTTTATTCCCCCTTCATCCCTGAAGGATATTTTCACTGGGTATAGAATTCACAGTTAACAGCTCTTTTGTTTCAGCACTTGAAGTATGTTATGCCAGTTCCTTCTGTCCTCCATAGTTTCAGATAAGAAATCTTCTGTCATTCATTTGATGTTTCCGATAAGTAATGTGTCATTTCTCTTTGGCTGATTTCAAGATTTCTTCATGTCTTTAGTTTTCAGAAGTTTGATTATGATGTGTCTTGATGTGGATTTCTTTGGGCTTATCCTCTTTGGGGTTTGCTCAGCTTCTTTAATCTGTAGATATATGTCCTTTGCCTAATTTGGGAATTATTCAGCTGATATTTCTTCTAATAGTTTTTCAGTCCCACTCTCTTTCTCTCCTTCTGGGGCTCCAGTGATACAAATTTTAGCTCTTTGGTAATTGTCCCACAGAACTTTCAGACTCTGTTCATTGTTTTTCAGTCTATTTTCCCTGTTCAGATTGGGTACAATCTGTTGATCTGTCCCAAAGTTCACTGACTCTGTCATCTATACTATTGAGTCTAGTCAGTGTTTTGTTTTGTTTTTTTTTAATTTCAGGTGTATTTTTATTTTTAAATTTTTATTATTTTTTATTGTGCTTTAGGTGAAAGTTTACAGAGCAAATTAGTTTTTCATTCAACAATTAATACACTGATTGCTTTGTGACATTGGTTACAAACCCCATGATGTGTCAATACTCTCCCCTTCTCCACCTTGGGTTCCCTGTTTCCGTTTGTTCAGTTTTCCTCTCCCTTCCTACCTGCTTGTCTTTGCTTTTGGTTAGGTGTGTCCATTTAGTCTTGTATATATGATTGAACGGTGAAGCACGTTCCTCACTGTGTTATTGTTTGTTTTATATACCTGTCTAATCTTTGTCTAAAGGGTGAACTTTAGGAGTGACTTCAGTTCTAAGTTAAAAGGGTGTCCAGGGGCCATATTCTCAGGGTTCCTCCAGTCTCTGTCAGACCAGCAAGTCAGGTTTTTTTGTGTGTGAATTTAAATTTTCTTCTACATTTTTCTGCTGCTCTGTCTGGGACCCTCTATTGTGATCCTTGTCAGAGGGGTCAGTGGTGGTAGCTCGGCATCATCTAGTTGTTCTGGGCTCTGGCTGGTGGAGGCTGTGGTACTTGTGACCCATTAGTACTTTGGACTAATATTTCCCCTGTGTCTTTGTTTTTTTCCACTCTCCTATGCTCCAGATGGGACGGGACCAGTAAATGCATCTCAGATGGCTGCTCGCAGACTTTTAAAACCCCAGATGCTACTCATAAAAGTCGGATGTAGAACATTTCCTTTACAAACTATGTTATGCCAATTGATCTAGATGTCCCCTGAGACCATGGTCCCCAATTTTCAGCCCAGTAACTCGGTCCCTCAGGGAGAAACTCCCATTATTGTTATTATTACTGTGCTTTAGGTGAAGGTTTACAGAGCAAGTAAGTTTCTCATTAAGCAATTAATACATATATTGCTTTGTGACATTGGTTGCCAACCCTGAGATGTGTCAACTCTCCCCCCTTCTCCACCTTGGGCTCCCCATTTCCATTCGTCCAGCTTTCCTGTCCCCTCTTGCCTTCTCATCCTTGCCCCTAGGCTGGTGTGCTCATCTAGTCTCGTTTACATGGTTGAGCTGCGCGTTTGAATTTCAGTTGTATATTTAAATTCTATAATTTCCATTTGTTGTTGTTGTTATCAGGTGCTGTCGAGCTGGTTCGAACTCATAGCAACCCTATACACAACAGAACAAAACACTGCCCAGTCCTGCACCATCCTCACAATCCTTGTTATGCTTGAGCCCATTGCTGCAGCCATTGTGTCAGTCTATCTCGTTGAGGGTCTTCCTCTTTTTCACTGACCCTCTGCTCTACCAAGCTTGATGTCCTTCTCCAGGGACTGATCCCTCCTGAAAACATGTCCAAATTATGTGAGACATAGTCTCACCACCTTTGCTTCTAAGAAGCAAATGCTGGCTGTACTTCTTCCAAGACAGATTTGTTCATTCTTTCCACAGTCCATGGTATATTCAATATTCTTCACCAACACCACAATTCAAAGGCGCTAATTCTTCTTCAGTCTTCCTTATTCGTTGTCCAGCTTTCGCATGCATATGAGGCAACTGAAAACACCATGGTTTGGGTCAAGCACACCTTAGTCTTCAAGGTGACATCTTTGCTTTTCAACACTTTAAAGAAGTCTTTGGCAGCAGATTTGCCCAGTGCAATGCGTCATTTGATTTCTTAATTGCTGCTTCCATGGGTGCTGATTGTGGATCCAAGTAAAACGAAATCCTTGACAACTTCAATCTTTTCTCTGCTTATCACGATGTTGCTTATTGGTCCAGTTATGAGGATTTTTGTTTTCTTTATGTTGA